CACACAGGGGAAGAATCTGTCACTATTGCTGGAGTGATAGAAGGATCTCAAGACCTGACTGTACTAGAGGCCGAAGTGAGCCTAACTGGGAATAAATGGGAAAAGTTCCCTATTTTAACTGGCCCAGATGCACCATGCATTCTTGGCATAGATTACCTCAGGAAAGGGTATTTTAAGGACCCAAGGGGCTACCGGTGGGCGTTTGGTGTAGCGGCGGTGGAGACGGAGAAAGTTGTGCACCTGTCAACACTGCCTGGCCTATCAGAGGACCCTTCTATTGTAGGGCTGCTGAGGGTTGAGGAACAAAAGGTGCCCATTGCTACTACAACGGTGCATAGGCGACAATATCGCACTAACCGAGATTCTCTGCTCCCTCTTCAGAAACTGATTCATCAGCTGGAAAGCTAAGGGGTGATCAGTAAGACTCCCTCACCCATCAATAGTCCCATATGGCCACTGCGAAAGCCTAATGGGGAATGGAGATTGACAGTAGACTATCGTGGCCTGAATGAAGTCACACCACCATTGAGTGCTGGTGTCCCAGATATGTTAGAACTTCACTATGAACTGGAGTCAAAAGAAGCTAAATGGTATGCTACAACTGACATTGCTAATGCTTTTTTCTCTATTCCTTTAGCAGCAGAGTGCAGGCCACAGTTTGCTTTCACCTGGAGGGGTGTCCAGTACACCTGGAATCCATTGCTCCAGGGGTGGAAACATAGTCCTACTATTTGCCACGGACTGATCCAGACTGCACTGGAGGAATGGAGCTCCAGAACACCTGCAATACATCAACGACATCATTGTGTGGGGTGATACAGCAGAAGTTTTTGAGAAGGGAGAGAAGGTAATTCGACTCCTTCTGGAAGCCCGTTTTGCCACCAAACGAGGTAAGGTCAAGGAACCTGCACAGGAGATTCAGTTTTTAGGAATTAAGTGGCAAGATGGGCGTCGCCACATCCCAATGGATGTGATTAACAAAATAACAGCTATGTCACCACCTACTAACATAAAGGAAACACAAACCTTCTTGGGTGTTGTGGGTTTCTGGAGAATGCATATTCCTGGTTACAGTCAAATTGTGAGCCCTCTCTATGAAGTGACTAGAAAGAAGAATGATTTTAAATGGGGCCCTGAACAGAAGTCAGCCTTTGAGCAGACTAAGTGGGAGATTGTTCATGCAGTAGCCCTTGGGCCAATCCGAACCGGACAAGACGTAAAAAATGTGCTGTACACCACAGCAGGGGAGAATGGTCCTACCTGGAGTCTCTGGTAAAGAGCACCTGGGGAGACTCGAGGCCAACCCCTAGGGTTTTGGAGTCGAGCATACAGAGGATCAGAGGCTCGCTATACTACCACTGAGAAAGAGGTATTAGCTGCATATGAAGGAGTTCGAGCCGCTTCGGAGGTAATTGGTACTGAAGCACAGCTTCTCCTGGCACCTCGGTTGCCAGTGTTGAACTGGATGTTTAAGGGAAAGACTCCTTCCACACATCACACAACTTATGCAACGTGGAGTAAGTGGGTAGCCCTAATTACTCAGCGAGCTCGAATAGGGAACACCAATCGTCCAGGAATTCTGGAGGTAATCATGGATTGGCCGCAAGGCACAGATTTTGGAGGATCCCCAGAGGAGAGAGTGGTGCGGGCGGAGGAGGCACCACCATATAATCACTTATCAGAAAATGAGAGGCAATACGCGCTGTTCACTGATGGATCTTGTCGTATTGTAGGAAACCAGCAAAGGTGGAAAGCTGCTGTGTGGAGTCCTACTCGACGAGTCGTGGAAGCGACTGAGGGAGTGGGTGAGTCAAGTCAGTTTGCAGAAGTGAAAGCCATCCAGTTGGCTTTAGGTATTGCCGAGAGAGAAAAGTGGCCGGTACTTTACCTTTATACTGACTCATGGATGGTGGCACATGCATTATGGGAGTGGTTAAAGCAATGGAAGATGAGCAACTGGCAGCGCAGAGGTAAACCCGTCTGGGCTGCTGACTTGTGGCAAGATATTGCTGTCCGATTAGAAAAGTTGTCTGTGAAGGTTCAACATGTAGATGCCCATATACCTAAGAGTCGGGCACTGAGGAACAAGAAAACAATCATCAGGGGGAGGGACAACAGGGGAGTTGGACTAGATGAGGGGAGTTGGACTAGATGATCTCTATGGTCCCTTCCAACTCTAAAAATTCAGTGAAATCAGATTGATCAGGCTGCTAAGATAATTGTGTCCCAAGCAGACTTGGACTGGCAACGTAAAAGTGAATTGTGTTTAGCTCGGTGGGCCCGTGACACTTCAGGCCATCTAGGAAGAGATGCAACATATAGATGGGGTCGTGACCAAGGGGTGGATTTGACCTTGGACACTATTGCACAGGTCACCCATCAATGTGAAACGTGCTGAAATTAAGCAAGCCAAACGATCAAAGCCTTTGTGGTATGGAGAACAGTGGCTGAAATATAAATTTGGGGAGGTTTGGCAAATTGACTATATCTCCCTTCCACGAACCCGCCAGGGAAAGTATTATGTGCTTACAATGGTGGAAGCAACCACTGGCTGGCTGGAAACATATGCTGTGTCTCATGCTACTGCTCGGAACACTATTTTAGGCCTCAAAAGACAAGTCCTGTGGCGACATGGTACTCCAGAGAGAATTGAGTCGGACAATGGGACTCATTTCCGAAATAATCTTATAGATGCCTGGGCTAAAAAGCATGGTACTGAGTGGATATATCACATCCCCTACCACGCACCAGCTGCCAGGAAAGTGAAACAATGCAATGGACTGCTGAAGACTACACTGAAAGCGATGGGTGCTGGAACATTTGAAAAGTGGGATGAATATTTAGCAAAAGCCACCTGGTTAGTCAACACCAGGGGAAATGTCAGCCGAGCTGGTCCTGCTCACTCAGAGTTTTTACCTGCTGTAGAAGGGGATAAGGTCCCTGTGGTGCATGTAAAGAATATGTTGGGGAAAACAGTCTGGGTTGCCCCGGCCTCAGGTAAAGGCAAACCCACTCATGGGTTGCTTTTGCTGAGGGACCAGGGCATACTTGGTGGGTGATGCAGAAGAATGGAGGGGTTCGGTGTGTACCTTTAGGAGATCTGATTTTAGGTGAGAATCCTTAATTTAAATGATATGGTGTCAATTGTTACCTAATACTAACAGTGTTCAATAAGTCTTTTTCAGGATAATGTAATGGTAATGGAACCAGAGTCAGTTCTGACGAATGGTGTCCAGCAACGGGGAACATGCTGACCGTGAGCACAACACCTTACTAATGTGCCCAACTCCAGCCATCTGTGATCCTGTATTGAGGACTGGTCATGATCTGACAACTGAGTGAATGCCACAACACTCATTTTTACCCTGACTTTTTGGACTAAGGAAATTCAACGGACCTTTTAGAGAAATAGTTCATAGTTTTAGAAAACTATATATGTTTTTCTCTATATATATGTATATTAGAAGATAAATGTAGTAGTACACTGGAGTGTGACATATATATGGTATGAAATAAGGGGTGGAATGTCCTGCATTGAGAGACACAGGACTAACTTTTCTTCTAATGCTGGGGAAAATTGCACTTCTAGAAGACGCTAGTGTCTGAATTTGTGAAAAAATTTACTTTATAGCCAGCCAGGCTCTATGGGATTCAAGGTTTCAGTGTTTTCGAGCCTTGCCAGGTGCAGGGACAAGGAGGAGCAAGGCATGGGCTTTTGACCCAGGCTGACCAACAGGATTATTTCATACCATGAACATCACATTCAATATAAATTAGAAAAATTTGCTGTGTAGGGGGCTGCGTATGGCGGAGGTCCAGACAACTCCTTGCCCCGGTGCCGGACCCCTGAGGCCTTCCCTTCCTCCTGAAGCCTTGAGCTCGCAGTGTCCGCCATTTGCTGTCCCTGCTGGGAGCGCACAGCTTCCCACTGATATAACTGGCTGAGTATAATTCTTGTATATGTTATATCAGTATCGGGATTAATACTGGTTCTTTAGTATTGTTGTTAACTATTTAGTTTTAGTCTATTAAATCTATTTATATTTCAACCCTTGTGTTTCCTTGTGTTCCCCGATTCCCCTTTCCGGGTGAGGAGGGGTCATCAGGTGATAGAATAATTGCCTAAACAACATTAGATTGTTATGGATTTTCTCAAACCATAACAAAGGCACTACAGTAAAATATGGATTTGGGAATATATTAGTTTTCTTAAGGCACCAGGACCAAAAGCTGGCCAGTTCTTCCGGTTTAGACGCTATGTGAAGAAATCTGAACATATGAATCCCCCTAGCTTGAAAATTCCAAAGGCAAGTAAAAATAAACTCCCATGATTTTATGCTTCTGCAAGTGTTTAAAAGACATGTAGATACGGCGCTTCAGGACATAGCTTAGTGGTGCACTTGGCAGTGCTGGGTGTACGGTTGGACTCCATGATGTTAAGGTCTTTCCCAACCTAAATGACTCTTCGATTCTGACTTCCCTGCAAACTCCTCTTCCCTGCCATGGCACCTCACTCGCTCTGCTTCTCCCGAGGCTACTTGCATTTTCTATTGCTGCCCGGGCTTACCTTCCGCTACCACAGCAAAAAAAAAAAAGCTAAAACAGAAGGAGTTTGGTGGCTTTCGATAAACACGGTTTCCTGCCTGAAGGACGAAATGTCCGGTTGCTCTTTAACCAGTCCCGCGAGTCGCCCCAGTCGGCACCACCAGCCGTAGCTCGACCCCTGCTCCTCCTCCTCCCTCGCCGCCGCCCCCGGGCAGACGGCTGCACTGAAGGCCGGCGGCCGCCGCCGTGGTACCGCGCAGGGCCAAGCACGGCCGCGGGCCTTCCGGCCGCACACCGCTCGCCTCAGCGTACGGAGCCGGGCTCTCCGCGGAGGCTGCCTCGCGCCGGGGGCTCACGGTAACGGGCTCCCCCCACCCCCCACCCGCAGCTGCCGGGAATGGCGGGGTCGGCCAAGCCCTGCCCTGAGGCGGCCCCAGGG